GACAAGTATATTATTGTGTTATACATTTCAATTATTAGAGAAAAAAATCAATACCAGACAGCTGGTTATCACCAACCATGTTGTCGTTAAGTCGACATCTTCGGGGCGTCGGACTGCAAAAACTTCTCAAGAATTTTGTCGGACAATAAGATACTTTCATTTCAAATCTTATTACCAGACCCTCCCAGAAAAATCAGCTTGCTGGTTGTCACCAATCATAGTGTCACCAAATCGACATATTTGGCATGGGGGACAAACTCAAAATACCAACATTTTTGTCGGACAAATTTTTTGGGGGGTTTAAAAAAAATATATCTTTCATTTAAACTTAAAAAAAAGTGCTGGTCATAACATTCCATGTTTATGCCAGATTGACATGTTTTCCTGAAAATCACGGGATAACTTACCACTGTTGAATTTTCCTCATAGTCAAATCTTGGGAGATTCGTCAAACTTAAACTGCATGCAAAGTTACAGCTTACTGGTAATCATTTTTTTCTTTGTACGTGGGCCCGTGGACTATAAGGTAAGATCATATTCCGAGATTATGACTACACCTTTGCACAAATCGTACTGTAAAACTGAACAAAATCCAGCATTAAAAAGTAATGTGTATGCTGTAGATGCTGTAGCCGAGAGTACAGATTAGCCTTCCGGTTTTGCGTCCGGAAGTTTGGCCGTCTGGCAAATCGATTCGTGTATGCCCACCTGCTTCTGTGTGAGTTGTAACGGTAAGATAAACGTTACAACTGTTCGCTTTAGACAAACCGTACCTTTAAAATCCATACCTGGATTCCCATATTGTGCGCACATGGTTTAATTCCGGCCAAATATGCTGTGGCTATTGTGTATGTGTTGTGTATCGCACTTTGTTCATGGTTACTGTTTCCCAGTGCTGTTTCTAATACTTTCTAAAGTAAATATCTTGTATTATTTAGAACACTTTCCTTATTGTGGTAATAACATGTAGCAGGTCTTTACGAAAAATATCTCAAAGTAAACTGGAATAGCTGTCTGCATGCTTTATTTATGTGGACTTAATATTTAAAACTAGGAGGAAGGTTTCAAAAATGCCTGTCATTAACATCAAATGTTCCGTCAGTCAAAATAACATAAAATTTGCCACGTCAGGGAAAATTTCAGTACAATGGAAATAGAAGCAAAACTAGACGAAGATTTCCTCTTCTACCTTAATTTCACTAATACCTTCCTGAAAAGATTGCCGGACCCGCAGTTAGAACATAAATGCCGAGTACACTATTTACCGCTTTCTGCATACTTTCACGTGCATTAAATCGTTTTTGTTTTAAGATCTGGTTGTACAAGCTGTGCGGAGAGCCTTGCGAAGGCATCGACAGGAAGAGATGCCGTAACATCTACTTGGCCAACCTTCTGGTTTGCATGCAGAACGGGGTATTGGATCCGCCGTTTCTCCAGTCTCCTCACGACATCGATGTCATGAATGCTTCTGAGGTCTTTGGACCCATTCCTGACACTGTGGAGGTAAGATTGAAATTTTATTTTGTTGTTTTTTTTTAGTCGGTTGCGTACGTAGGTAATTGTTACATCATGTACTATAATTGTGACTTCATGCGCCCCTCCTAGAGAGCAAAGATTAGGCAGAGATTAGATCGGAAGCGCTCTGACTACTTTTAAGCTCTAGTTTCCGATCTATTCGCACGTTTCTGGTCATAAAAATAAGAAAAAGCAATTCAGAAAATGGCAGTCAGTTGTCAAATTTCGAGCTCTCCCGATCTTACGTACGCGCGCTCGGCAGGTTTTGAGCATGTTTGTAGGAATTTTTCACCTATTTCGCATAATTTTTTCGAAAAATTAGATTATACGTTTTGTAGTCTTCTACTTTTAAAATCCCACTGAAAAATTAAAATCAGACCACCTCCAACGCATCCAGAAATTTTGCAAAATAGTGCACCAAAAAATTCAAATTGCAATTCTGCCAAAACTAATAGTCCGACAGCGCCTGTTTTGTGCACATTTAAAATACACATAATTCACTACTTTTGTGCACAGGGTCAGCTCTACAACTTAAGAAATGCCGGAGTAATGAATTAAAAGAAACGCTAAATTTTCCGATTTTTCCGGGTTTTCTAATTTTATCCGATCGGATCGATCGACCTCTCGTTTTATTCGTATTTCGATTTACTACAAATTGTCTGTTTATAGCATTCAGATTGCTTCATTAGTTATAAGCAGAAAACTAACAAAAATGCGTTTTTTGCATAAAAATGTTTATAAAAAATTAATTCATGGTAAATTGGAGTAGGAAACCTATAAGCATAAATATCTAGAGACTGTCTTTTATATGATGGCACAGCCATTTACTACTAGTATTTTTGTCACAAACAAAACTTCTATTGATTGGCCTAAATATGTAGTGGTGGGTACTAAGATATTAAAAGGCATCATTTAGAAATTTAAAATGCAAAATGGGTTTATGTTTTATAGATTAATAGCTGGAATAAATCAAATATTAAGAACTATCAGGCTTTCTCTAGGCTGACATCTGAAAATTTAAATTTCCCGGTTTTGGTTCGTAGATGTTACAAATATTTTGTTGAACCGATATGCTTGAAACGGATTCACAAATTCTACTAACACTAACACAAAAGGTATTCATTATTAATTTTACAGTCGTCATTTCAATTGTATGTGCACTTTTTCTCAATCTTTGCTAGAGGGGTTTTCTAATAAGCACATAATCTGCTGAAGTAAAGCTCATCACTTAATTAAACAAGACGGGAATTCTAAACGTTTATTTCCTTTTTTGAATTTGTGAAATGTTGCTTTTTGACTTGTGTCAGTAACCCTGCACCAGGTTTTGGCCATATATCTAATAGTATATGGATGGAGTCAAAGCCGACTTTTGTCCCATATCCTCTCTCTCTACATTCCATCCATAGTATACTATATTAGATCTATGGTTTCGGCATGCTGATTTCAAAAGCCAAAGCTTATCCAGTCGTTGATTGATTTGTCGGTCTACTTGTGGCTGGTGATAAACTAGAAAATTAAAATAACATCACAACACTTTTAACTATTTAATACACATTTTAAAGTCACGTGACCATGGGACCAAACAAATTGAATGAATAGGGAATATTAGAAAGCATCTACAGTTAGTAAAGCCATCTAATTATACGCCCAAAAAATGTATGCTAACATTTTCATCAGATCATGTGGCTCATAATAATTCATGAACATTTGGTCTACTGGTTTACTGGTCTATTGGTTTTATAATATTCTTTGTTGAAGCGGCTTATGTTTATTTTATTTCAAAATATTTCTTCCACCGTTAAATTCTACTTATTGCCACATCCAAAACTAGTTACACATCTGAACATGAACGAGGATGAGGCAACTATAGAAAATCACGGATTGCGCTTCTCGAAAAGCATTTACTTTATGCAGTATGTAGTCGTATGGCTTTTGTTTGATTTTTGCCTTGCTTCGTTCCGATTAGTGCTCAGATGTACATTCGGCTTAGTAATTCATTAATTTTCTTTATAATATTATGAATAATGCATAAATATATTAATAAATTTATCCTGAACTGAGCAATGGTAACATTATCTTTGTATCTATAAAATAATATTAAAAAATACATACATCAATATTTTCTTTATTTAACCTGTTTAAGTTGTTTCTAAAATTGTCTCATGATGCAGATGTAGTTTTGATTTTTACAATCAAAATAAAATTTAGTTCTCTGAAGCCCTATTACTGCTAATAGGAAATGGACCATTGAACAGTTGTTTTTGAGAGAGTTCCATTTACGTCACTTTGGACTGCCTAGGTATTTCTGTCTGAAATATACCAGCAAGCCCTGTTTCTTTCTATCCATTTTAATATACCTACGATGAGTAATTAAAAAAATATATGTGCAGGTCAAGAGNGTATATCATCTATAAACTTCCGTGGATCCTCATATTCACTCCCTTCGTACGTGGGCATTATCAAGGTCACCTTTCTCTTTGCAGGCGTCTGTAATATATCCCCGAATTTAGAAAAGATTCGTTCTAGCGTTCCCATCACTCTTCTTTCCACGCTATTGATTACGTCATCACTGGTCATTGGTTCTTCAAAATTTGTCGGTTTGTTTGGGCACCACTGGGTTTTTTCTTTTACCCGATAATCCAGAACAGGAGTTTCGTCTCTATCCTCTTCTCCCATAGACAACATCTTGTCTATTGGACTTCGTCTATTTTGATTCGCCTGGGCGTCTCAGTCGGGAGAGCGTGGGTCGTAATCTCGCGGTCGTAGTTGGCGGCCCCACGTTGGGCGCCATGTCCTCCGCAAATCCTTCTTTCACCCATCGGGGTGAAATGAAGTTCCGTTATTGCGTGAGCGTCCAGCTGATCATCTAGGGCGAACGCTAGGAACTCCCCAGACGGCAGGGACTCCGTCTTGCCAAATTTTAGTAATAATCAGGCTTAACTTACGGTAATCTGGTACGGTTTCTTTGTTTGGTTTTTGAGAACGCAATCCCAGCAAGAAAAACGGCTGTCAAAAAAGTTTTGACACTTTTTATTGACAATAGTTAGTCTGACAAGTACACACAAAAAAAATTCAGAAACAATTTGATATTATTGAATTGTGATTCCAAATACCAAGTTTAGAGCACAGATTCGTGGTTTCCCAGTAGAAGCTGGGGAGCCTAAGACAAAGGTTTTTTATTAAGAACATGTAATTTTTAGACCTCTTTCAGGCATTTATGCTTTTTTTTCCAATTACGTAAGGATTTACAGACTTAGTTATAATATATTTTGACATATCGCCCATTGATATTGTCCAAAATACGTATAGCTATTTTAACTAAATATCACTAATTAGGCCGTGAGAGTCCTAATTACTCATGGACAATGTTATGTGGTAGGTCGTGACAATGGCAGATAGGTATAACGCCAAGCACTGCTCTCCCCTGCAATGACAAAGCGAAGTGAACAGCGTTCGACACCAAACTTATTATAGAATACCAAGCAAAAAATTATTTACGACTTACTGGACCAATACAGGTTTGCTTTGACGACCTGCGTGCCGCCGTCGATTCTACATCAGGCGGAATGGTCTACCAATACCGGACTCGCCCAATGGCTATTCGAGTATAAATTATGATACAGATAATGGCTAAAGCACAGAAAGAAATTTGAAGAGAAGTGCATACGGTCATGTGCTTTAAGATTCACAGGTTCCAATTGATATGGTAACAACTTATATTACGGACATAAGGCCGGTATACACGATGCAGTTAACCAGTAGGTATGCTTTCCAAATCGGAAGTCAAATTGTAACATTAGTGGCTACATTGGCCGGAAGGCCTACCCTGAACTATCGACCTCTCGAAAAACTGCCAGCGCTTGAAATTTTGTCTTCCAGCGCGTACAAGTATATGCCTGAGGGATGAGTACAAGCCGAAAGTTTCTGAATAGAAAGAAAGTAGTGTGACATTTCGTGTTATCGCATACTTATTTCTGTAAAAGAATGGCTGATATGTGAACTTAACAGAATTTATTGAGTTATATAGATCCCTGCCTAGCTTGTATGATTCAAACAGCTAGCAATATTTAAACAAATCTTTGACAATAAGTGCCCACAATAAGTTAGTTGAAAAACTGAAGACAGTAGATTCAGAAACAACGAAAGATATGCTGGTTAAAATAATTAATAACATGCACTTCTCGATGTATTAACATTTGTTTGATCCATTTTGGCAACAAAACATGTGCCACCATAATTAATAGTCCACGGGCCCTCGTACAAAGAAAAAAATGATTACCAGCAAGCTGTAACTTTGCGTGCAGTTTAAGTTTGACGAATCTCCCAAGATTTGACTATGAGGAAAATTCAACAGTGGTAAGTTTTCCCGTGATTTTCAGGAAAACATGTCAATCTGGCATAAACATGGAATGTTATGAGCAGCACTTTTTTTAAGTTGAAATGAAAGATATATATTTTTGAACCCCCCCAAATTGTTTGTCCGACAAAAATGTTGGTATTTTAAGTTTGTCCCCCACCCCAAATATGTCGATTTGGTGACATTATGATTGGTGACAACCAGCAAGGGGATTTTTCTGGGAGGGTTTGGTAATAAGATTTGAAAACAAAGTATCTTATTGTCCGACAAAATTCTTGAGAAGTTTTTGCAGTCCGACGCCCCGACAGTTACCATTTTGTATAAAATAAAATGTACATATACCTAAGTCTTTTGAACAAAGAAATCATTTTGATGGAGATTAATTAAAATAGTTGGACATAATTATTTATGAATTTCAATTTCTGTTGCTCCTGTTAACAAGATAATTTTCTTATTTATTCTTCTTTATTTTTTTATTAAAAAATTAATTATTTTATAGCGGAACGAACATTGGGTACAACAAAAATAGTTATTTTTCCCATTTTTAAGGCAAATTTTCCAATCTTTTTGGCGGACAAGTATATTATTGTGTTATACAGAGAGATCGAGAATGATTGACCGGATTCTGAAC